AAAAAAATCAGCCAGGCATGGTGGCATGCACCTGTAGTTCCACCTACTTGGAAGTCTGCGGCAGGAGAATCACTCGAACCCAGGCAGCAGAGGTTGCAGTGAGCTGAGACTGTGCCACTGCACTCTAGCTTGGGTGACAGAGCAAGACTCCATCTCAATTAAAAAAAAAAAAATGTCATCTCCTTCCAGGGCAAAGGTTGGGTACTGGCTAGCAGTCCCTTTTAAAAGACTGGAGTTTCCTGAGCTTGGGGTTCCTTAGCTGGGACACAGACTCGCAGTGTGTACAGCATCCACCTGGGCTGTCCTGTATCACCCCGGGGAACTTGCAGGGCAAGGGGAACCAATGCAAACATGAAGCTCACAGTGCCTGCTGTGCTGTGAGTAATAACATCCTTTGTCTCTGGTCCTGGAGTCTCTGGTCTTCTGCTAGCATCATTAAGCAGTGGCAGGCTAACTTAGCTTGCAGGTAGTGTAAAAATCTCAGACCCTTTGTGGTTCCTCACAGTTCTGTTCATTACTCCAACTCTGGCCCCCAGAGCTGCCAGGCCTGACACATAGTGGTACTCAGTAAATCATGAATGAATGAAAATACGAAATAATGCTTAAAAGTAAGTCAGAGTAGCCTAAGAACCTCTGACAGTAACTACCTTTTATTTTCCCCTTCAGTATTTATCCTAGATGACATTTCGGAAAAAAAAAAAAAAAAAAAAAGTCTATTTCTTTAACTCAATGGGTTGGGGCATATTTCCCCACTTTGATCTTGCCCTGTGCAGTCACTTTCCTACCTGAAAACACTGTAGAAAGTGATTAGATGCGTTAAACTCTGTAAATTAGTTCTATGACACAGGGCACCGACCATGGAAAAGAGCAAAAGAGCTTCACTCATCTGCACTCCCTGCTTAGGGGTCAAAAGTGAGACAGAGAAGCAACATTTCTATTGAGGGGTTACCAGATCTTAAGTGGCCTGGGAGCCCTAGAAATTTCTCAGTGTTGTATTTGGGAAGGGAGAGGTTAGGCAAGGGGGGAGTCTCTCTGACCGCTGGGTGGGTGTCATTCGTAAGTCAGGGGCAGCGGGTATGCCCCTCCTAATCCCAGCTGTACCCGCCAGGACTTCCCAGAGTGGCATGGCTGGTGCCAAGGAGGGGTCTAAGGCCCCTGGGGGTTTTCTCCGCGGGCGGGGTTGGGGCTGTACCTGGAAAAGAGGGGTTGGTGTTGGGGCACCTACTGGGGTGCTCCTGGGGACCGGAGCCTAGATCCGGGAGGATGGGGACGGGGAGCCACCCTTCCTCCTCCCAGCGCTAGTCCTCGCGGGGCCGCCCCTTCCGGTCCCCGGTCTCGGCCCGCCGCCCCTTCCCGCACCGCACTTACCTGGCGGGAGGAGGAAGCCCACGCTCCGACCTCCGCCCAGAGCCCTGCCAGCTCGGGAGGCGTCGGGCCCGCTCCCGGGCGAGGCCTCCCGGCCGCGCTCCCGCGGAGTCTCCAGCCGACACCCGGCGCCCAGCGCGCCCGCCCGGCCTGTGTACGCGCGTTGCCATGGCAACACCGCCGGGCGCCGCGGGGCCCGGCCTAACAGGTGGGGGCGTGGCCTGCGCAGGGAACGCCCACCGGGTTACCGCCTGCTGAGTGCTCCAGGCCCCACGAGCCTGCCCCATTTCACAGATGGGAAAGCGGAGGCTCATAGGTCACATAAGTGGCCCAAAGTTTTACAGAGAGGAAGGAGCACAAAGGAGATTTGATTCAAGAATCCTTTCCATTACCCCTCGCTCTAAGCTGGATGCGTTGAGGGAGGGTGGGGGGCGATAGGGAGAGGTAGGAGATTGATGGAGGTGAACTCATGAGACCGTTGGAGGTTAGTATGCCCCTGCCCTACCCAAATCTCTAGTCCTTTCCTTTACAGACCAGAAAATAGAAAGAGTAAGAAGAGGGGACCTCTGGGAGTGGGGTGGGGATTGGGAAAGGGATGGGGTGGAGTGAACAATTTTGAAAGAACGAGGATTTCTTCCATGTGCTGGGGAAAAGAATTTCCAAACTCACAATCCTGCTGCTCCTGCTTCTCCCTGTTAAGAGTGACATTTATTCATTCTTTTGCCCTTTCTCTATCTCTGCAAACATCTTCTGAGGCCTATGAGTGTCACACGCTGGTCCCAGAATACACGTGGAATAGTTACTGTCCTTAAGAAGCCCCTTGTCAGTCGGCATAGGACTCGGGGGATGGAGTGTGTTGAGATGTGCAAATCCTATCTCCCACCACCTCCCACTTCTGCTGGGGGGCAGAACAACCTTGCTGACTTTACCTAGAGAGTGATTCAGTGGCAGGAAGTGGCTGACCAGGTACCTCAAGAAAAACTCTAAACATTTTTTAAGAGAGTTGAACTATGGCACACTCTACCCTGGTGATTCGGTTTGGCTCTGTGTCCCCATCCAGATCTCGTCTCGAATTAAAATCCCCAAGTGTTGGAAGAGGGGCCTGGTGGGAGGTGACTGAATCATGGGGGCAGACTTCCTGCTTGCTTTTCTCGTGATAGCGAGTGAGTTCTCACGAGATCTGATGGTTTAAAAGTGTGGCACTTCCCCGTTTTTTCTCTCTCTTTCTCTTTCCTGCTACACCGTGTTACAACTTGCTAGCTTCCTTGCTTCCCCTTGGCCTTCCGCTGTAACTGTAAGTTTCCTGAGGCCTCCCCAGCAGTGCAGAACTGTGAGTCAATTAAACTTCTTTTCTTTGTAAATTATTCACTCTCAGGGAATTACTTTATAGCAGTGTGAGAACAGACTAATACACCTAGTCAATAGGAAGAGGATCTGAGAGAAATCATGGACATCGATTTGGGGTGGAATATATGGTGAAGATGCTCAAACGTGCCTGGAGGCTTTTAGAAATGTGGACTTCTGGGCACAGACCCCAGAGATTCTGATTTAGCAGGCCTGGGACATAATCCAGGAATGTGCATTTGCAACAAGCTTGACAAAACCCTGATTTACACAGCTGAACTGCAGAGACCTCTCCTGGAGCCTGTCCCTACAAATCTCTTCCAGGCCCTCAGTCTGGAAGGTTCTGCCTGGATCAGTTTCCTACAACCAGAAAGAGTCTAGGCATAAAATGCTAGGAGTGACCACAAGGGCTGGGACCCGAGTGATAGCTTCACAGGAACAGAGAGGGCCAGGTCCAGTTCCCCACACATTTCTGCCTCAGAGCCTTTGGTCTTGCCCGTTCCTCTGCCTGGAATGCACTTCCCCCCAGGAGTCTCATTTGCTTTCTTTACTTTAGCTTTCTACTCACATATCATCTTTTCTAAAATTGGTTTTTTTGAAAAAATAAAACAACCACCACGAAATCTAATAACTAAGCAAATACAAACAACAAGAACAACAAAAGCAAATGAAAATAAGAACAACAAAAGCACATCCAAACAAAATAAAAACCTCAACACTCTCTCCCTCTTCCCTTCTTTTTGCCATTTACTATAGTTGGAATATTTGACCCCTCCAAATCTCATGTTGAAATTTGCTCCTCACTGTTGGAGGTGGGGCCTGGTGGGAGGTGCTTGGGTCATGGGGGTGAATCTGTCATGGATGGCTTAGTGCTGTTCTTGTAGGGTGCATGAGTTCTCACTCTATCAGTTCCCTAAAGACCTGACTGTTAGAAAGAGCCTGGCACCTCCCCCTCGTTCGCGGTCACTTCCTCTCTCATCATGTGATCTCTGCACATGCAGGCTCTACTTTCTGCCAGGAGTGGAAGCAGCCTGAGACCCTCACTAGAGGCAGATGCTGGCACCATGCTTCTTGTACAATCTGCAGAACTGTGAGCCAAATAAACCTCTTTTCTGGATAAATTACCCAGCCTCAGATATTACTTGATAGCAACACAAATGGACTAAGACATCACTTATCATCAGTTCACATACTATTTCTTTTATTTATTTATGTGATTTATTGTGTCTCCCTCCCTGACCCCTGGTAGAATCTAAACTCTATAAAGGCAGGGATTTTTTTTCCTGTTTTGTTCACTGCTGTGCCACCAGTCCCTAGAACAATGTCTGAATGAATGAATACGCAGGGGGAAGCCCCTGCCACCCTTCTGAAGCCTGGCCTCCTGTTCTCTGAGGACTGCTGGGCTGACCTGTCCTCACCCCAGGATGTCAGCTTCTCTAGTCCCTTGCCCAGGCCTGAACACCACCTCCACCCTTACCACTACCCCTCCGTGCTTGTCTTTAGTCAAACTCTTGTCATTAACATGAACCCAGGACACAAACTTGCTCACTATCAGACAGACCCCAGTGAAACCCAGGCTGGCCATGAACTGGAACAGCCCATGCCCCTCACCAGGCTTTGAGAGATCATCTGTTGCTATTAGCTGATATCTCAATGAAAAACAAAAATTCCTAAACTGAGAGCAAAGCTGACACTCAGAATCAGTGGAGCCGAAGTTGCCACATCTCAACTGGATCCTCTCTCCCTCAGGATGCCACTCTTATCTCAAGGGTGTGCAAAATTCTTGAAACCCAATTCCGTATCATCCATTTTCATCTTAAAAACAGAAAATCAAATACCCAGTAATGGTTTTATGATATAATTTCCTGGACCGAGTAAGAGAGTTGTACCTTGCAATTAAACAGTGATGCGACATTAAAAAGACGGTCCCTGAAAAAAAAAATGTTTCTAGATTATTTGTGCTTCTTGGCAGTGCCTTCAGTTAACCTTTTATTGAACTCTCAGTGACTACCAAGCCCATATTGTAGGAAATAAGGCTCAGAGACAGGGAGAAATGTGCCCAAGGTCACACAGCTAGAAAATCTGGCAGGATTTGAATCTAGATGAATGTGATGAGGAAGGTATCTCCCCTGGAGAACTACAGGTGACACCTGTCACAATCACAAGATGCCACTTACTCACACCTGCTTTCTCTCACTTCTGAGCAGCCTGCACTCTTGTCTGTCCAAAGGTTCAGGCAGTGCCCAGGGCAGGGAGGGAAGGGGGCATAAGCCAAGAGGAGGCAGCTCAGGCCTGCCACCTACATTACCTGCTGACATTGGGTGCTGGGCTTCCTTCTTGCAGAACTTCTGCCCCTAGAAAATCTCATTCCTTCCCAGCCACCTTCCCTGGGCTGTTCTTGCCTGGGGAGAGCCCAGCCCTGTGCTCCATACTCAGAGACCTGTGTGATGTTTCTCCTGCTGCCCTTGCATTCCAACATGAATTGAATGCTGGCTTCAGGCCCTAGCCCTTGCCAGGAGAGGTGTGGAGCCTTCCTCAGCCTCTATGGCATGAAAGAGAGCCAGAGAAAGAGCAAAAACGAGAGAGTACAGAGTACAGGAAATAGCCAAGCTGTTGCACAGGGTGACGGATGACAGAGAGCAGAGAGCCCACTAGAGACTCCAAGGCCCATTAGTAACCTGACCATATAAGCTTAGAAAGTACAGATTTTTATATACAGACCTACACACACAGACTCATAAAAATGATTGCAAACCATGGAGAGAATAACTGGTAACTGAGACTTTCTGCAGCCATCTTTGCTGTTTCCCCTGGCAGAAAATGAAAAAACATGCAGCTTCATCTCATGTTGACTCTTTCATGCTGGTTTGGAACATTTAGTTATCTTGCAAATCGGTGTTCAAAGTCAGTTCCCTTTGGTTCCTTGCACTTTGCTGTGGGGGGTCTGTCTGTACCATCTGTTCAAAAATTGCAAAGTGTGCTGGCCCCACCTGTCCTGGGCCTGGTTTTTGTTGTGTTTTGTTTGTGCCTCACTTCCCTCACCTGTAAAATGGGTATAACAACAGCACTGACTGAAAGGATTAAATGGATTAAGATGTATGAAACAGTGGATCAGTGGCTGGTACAACTGAATGGCTCTATGAGTGTTTGCAATTATTGCCTGTTTTCTTTTTCTCTGATGTTGTGGGAAGAGAGCCCTAATCTCAACCCAGGTCACAAACACTCCGGAGAAACTTTGATTTGCATCAAGACTCAGTCCCACTCCAGAACAAACCCGATCTCTGGATGACTAGTCTCATATTATCTGGCTGGCTGCTCTGAGACCTTTCTAGATGTGGGTATGGATATAAGAGATAGGATGTGCTCCTTCCCTCTAGTCACAACTAGAGGTGATTCTTGGGAGCCCAGTAGTCTCTATGGGGTGGCACCTGCTGGACAACTCCATAAATTCTACTTCCAGGCATGTGGGCAAACCTCCACTACATTTTTGTGAGTGACAGTGAACCTTTATGAATGTGGTTAACAAATTCAGCTCATATTTATTAAGGCTAACAAGGTACCAACCACCATGTCATGCACAGTTTTATTTAATTCTTAGCCCAACTCATTATACAGAAGGAGAAATTGAGGCACAGAAAAGTCAAGTAACTTAACGAGTTACAAATCTTGCACATAGTGGTTCTGGAATTCAAACTCTGGCTTCCAGACTACAAAGTGCAAAGTGCTGTACTTTTCGTAAACTTTCTTTTCCCTATCTTTTTTTTTTGTTTAGATGGAGTCTCACTCTCGCTGTGTCCTCAGGCTGGAGTGCAGCG